CCCCAGTTCGCTCCTCTCTTTTAAAAGTAAAAGAAACACTCCCTCCCTGGTACACAATCCCCCTGCACCCCTCCCACCGCCCCAAGTACATTCCACTATGGAACCTTAATTGTGGACTCTTGAACTAACCCTTTTGTGACCCAATTATTTTCTGCTTTGAATTTTTTTCTATTGATACCACGTGGTTTTAGAATTGGAAGTCATGCTGGAGCCAAGAGAAACACATTTTTGTTGACATAATATGAGTTTTGATGCAACAGTGTGGGACACGTTTACCCCAAGTGATCTGCTTCTTCAGATCCATGCAGTTACACGGCTTCCCACCTGGTGGCAGCACTGACTACAACCAAAATAGCCGTTTCTCAAGACACCTGGGGAGCTGAAAATGTTGATGAAAAGGTTAAAACCAAAGTTGAAGCTAAGAAACCCACTAAGCAAACCATTCCACAAAGTATATACAAGGCAGTTGGAAACAAGTGTTGCTTTTCAAAAAGTTGCCATCAGTTTCAAGCCCTTGTGGCTAGGTGTGTGTCACCATAGAACTTGACAGGTTAACAGTGGCTGAGGTTTCAACCTGCAGTACAGGTTGTCTCCAGTTATAACAATGTTCTGTCCTGATAACCTCATCATAAGTTAGTTCTGACGTAAATCAGATCCCTGGTTTGTGCTTGTTAAGAGCCATCGAGTTGAGTACGACTCATCGTGACTCCGAACAGCAGACCTGAGCCCTGTCCTCTCCTGTGCTATCTTCATCGTCTCTGGCACACGTGAGCCCATGGCTGTGGTCTAACTGTGTCAGCCCGTCTCATTGAGGGCCTTCCTCTCTTTTGTTGACCCTCCGTCTTTCCAAGCATGATGCCTGTTTCTAAGGAATAGCTAGCTCCTCCTTGAGACTAAGGTATAGAGTGTCACATGCCCACAGTATGTGAGACAACGCTTCCCCATCTGTGCCTCCAAGGAGCACTCTGGCTGCACTTTCCCCAAGACATAGCTGTGTGTCCTTTTGACAGTCCATTGGCTATGCAGTGATCTTCTCCAACACCAGGACTCAAAGGCATCTCTTCTTTTATAAAATTATTATAGTATTATACTAGGTTTCATTATTATTATCTTTTATTACCAGTATCTTTATAAATCTGATCCATGCACATCTGAAAATTAGAATATCCGCAAATTATATGCAACAGCACTGTGTGGAGTATACACGACTCCTGATAAAATGCACACACACAAAAAAGAGACAATCCAAAATCATTTTGTTACAGTTAAAATGCACCATAATTTGGGGCACTCCCTGCAGACTACCAGGGCTTTGTTCACAAAGCAAGTCTTCCCTCTGGGTAGACATGAGCCCCTAACCTGTCCACTAGCAGTCAAACGCGCCAACCACCCAAACCCAAACCAGACCCACTGCCCTGCAGCCGCTTTTGAGAGGGACCGAGTGTACAGGCCTTTCTTGGTCGTAACCTCCACAGGTGTAGAGTGCCAGGCCCTTCCTGCACGGTGGGCCAAGCCTCCTGTGTTTCACTTAGCAGCCCAGAGCAAATGACATGTGCCAACCAGGGGCTCCATTATTGTTATAATCAGCTGCTCTGTGGGAGAAGGTGAATCTTCTCCTCCCTCTAAGATGTTCAGCCTCAGAAACCCAGTGGAGGGCCATGCTGAGTCGGAGTCAAGTCCATGGTAGGGAATTTGGTTTTGAGCAAGAGCGATCCTACAATGAAGAGAGGCACAAGGATCCTTGACTAGCTCGCTTGCAGTAACACGGGAATGTGTCTTTAAAATGGTAACTGTTACAAGCCATTGTCTTAGATACAGGATGCTTCCAGCTACCCTTGTTCTCAAGGTCAGTCATGTACTATAAAGCATAGGATTTAGTATTGCTTTAAAAGCATTTGATGGTCCTATGTAATATTTGTCCTTTTGTGACTGAGATATTTCACTCAGCATAATGTCCTCCAGGGTCACCCATTTTGAATAGTATTTCATGAGTTCCTTGTTTTTC